TCTCCTCTCTCTCTCTCTCTCTCTCTCTCTCTCTCTCTCTCTGAGCTGCTCTTCTTCGTTAAGCTTGTGATCTTTGGATGGGGAGGATTTGGTAGGGCGAGCTTGGTATTTATAGGGAGGGTTTCGATGATGTCGTAGCAAAGCTGATAGGGAACAAAATCTGATCATTCTGTGGGCTTCCATATGATGCTCCTGCTGCAGTTGGTTCAATTTGTGGTGGGCGCAGTGGATGATATCGATTTGTGCCCTCGCTCCTTAGACAATCAAATCGAACCCACCCAAAACCACTGCAGGTGAGAAGGATTGAGATGGGGGATTTGGAGGTCGCACTCTTGTTCACTTGGAGCCTAAATAAAGAAGCATATTTGAATTTAAGTTGCAGGGTGAAGAACGAATGGAAGATGCGGTGGCCAACAGACTAGGGACATAAGCTAGAGACAAAACCAATGTCATTTTGGCTGATGTATATGACTGGGAAATCATCGTAACCAACGGATTAGTTAAACCCTCGGACGCAAGCAGGGGGTGAGAGGGACATGGCAGCGATTCCACTGCACCAAACAATGGGCATCTGGTCACTGGAATCAGTGCAGCCTGTTGTTTGACGGTACTACTGTGAAACTTCCAGTGTGATCGACAGTACTACTAATTTTTTGCATTCTATCAAATGACTAGCACCTGCCAAAATTTAGGTGCTTAAATGAGACATAAATCAAAGCTTTAGGATCAATTTTTGAATCAATCAGTTAGAGCTCAAATAAGGTGAAATTTATAAGTATTGGTCCTTTATTATTGCTAGTGTTAATGTTAATTTTGATTCGACAACGTCATGGAGCCAACCAGGTTGCTTATTTCATAGCGGATCGATGTTGGGGTAGTAAGGGGGTTTAGTCGGATGTCCTACAAAACTATACTGGAAGCATATTCTCCTTCGAGTTAGAAACACATGTAAGTTAGAAAATTAGATAATGGAACAAGGTACTAGTTCGAAAGAAGAGAGAGGTCCCTTTGTCAAACCATCCATGCGTTAATTTGAATTTGGATGGGAGATCGATGCGTGCAAACCAAATCCGATCTTAGTTTGAATTTGGATGGAAGATCGATCTCGAAAAGGCCCAATTAATCCCTTCCTCTATGGGTTAATTGGGCTGGGCATCAGCCTATATTGCACATGGTATGATAAAAGTGTACATCCGAATAATAAATATTGACCTAGAGAATCCGAACACAGCAATCATCCAATGCTCCCTGTCCACACATTTCAAAGTGATTAGATAGGCTAGCCTGTATACAGCTGATGAGGGCGGATCTCTATGTGCTCTGGAAGTGAAGTAGAAACGTAATGATGCCGGCTTGCTTGCTCCATATGCAACGAAAGCAACAGCCACTCACACTTGGTTGATGGGAAGCAGGTCTCAGTAAATGATGCAGTACAAGGCCAACGTTAAAACCTCAAAAACTAGGGTGAACCTTCTAGGTTGTTTCAGTCATCCCAATGCTTGTCCGAAGCAGACAGGTATGGACCACGAGAGCGACTCACCTCGCCAGTGGACTCGAGAGACGAGAGGAGAGTACACAATAGTCCATCGTTGACTGGTCTCCATGCATGATATGGTCCATACAGTCGATCTTCAGAAACAAGACGTGCGGTTCCACTGCCGACATGAAGACCTCAGCGATTTATGTGAACCATCTTGGATTGTCATCCCAGGCACTGGAGCCTTAGTCAGAGAACCTTCTTGCATCAGGTCCGTACATGAAGACCTGATGCAAGCACTGTAACGATCACGAGGCGACTCACTTCGCTTGTGGCTTCAAACCATCAGAAGACTGGAGCCTTAATCTGCTACTAATAGTCCATGCTATGGTCTATGCACACCGCGTCTGATGCAATTGCAGTAGTAATAAGAACGTGGTGGGATGGCGGACTAGGGATGGAGCCGAGATGTGACGGCTGAGGGTCCCGTCACTCGCCCTTCTTCCACGAAGAAACCAAATGAGAACTCTTTTGATTTGTCTTCTGCTTAGATTATTGTACATCATCATAGAGCTTCACTGAGTGAGGCCTCACTGACTAGTGTGGCCTGGGTTTGACTGGTGGGCCAAGGCCGGGGGCATAGCCGACATCGCCTGTCAACGTAAACTGGCATTCCCACGATAGGTTTTTACGGTGCTTTACTAAAACGATCTCGGTGATGTCCATGTCACCTTTAATTACTCAACGTGACGGTTCTATTATTCGCCTTCACTTTTTGACTCTATGAAGTCTGAATTATATGCGAAAAAGAAGTGCAAATCATATGTGACAACCCTGAGTAACACCCGTGACCAAGTGAATCCTTGTCTCTTCTAAAATAGTCAAATAAGATCAGCATCCAACCAAAAAGCTGAAGTAATCATTAAAAAGATAAAAATAAAATCTACTGAAGCAGTAACAGCCGACACATTTCCGTAACCAAAACGGCATCCAATAATTATGTATCTGTGTTATTACCCCCCAATAATTACTCCAGTCTTCGAAATACATATAGGCTCACTGAACCCGCTTCTAGAAACGTCAAAAAGATTTTGTCCCGTTTCACATACCTGATGAGAGCGTGGATCCCACCACATCAAGTACGTGACAGGGTGTGTCTATCCGTGTAAGTAAAGTTTTGGGAAACCCAAGGGCCCATTTGATGGTATCCTAATCCTACCTTTGTGCTCGATTATTCGCACCCAGAGCAGCCGGCCTCCTCACGTGTGCTCGAGCTCCTCTCCCTGTATTTAAGTCGATCCTCCTCACCCCTTCTCAAAGGCAACACATCATCCTCCGCCCTCGGCCCCCCTCCCCCTCCTTCATCCTCTCTGGCGGATTGGCTCGGACATTGGATCCAATGGAGGTGATGGTAATGGAGAGCAGGCCGGAGATCGGCCCCCAAATGAGCCGAAGCTGCAGCGACGGCGGCTTCAGCGACTGCAACAGCGACCGCTCAGGCGAGTTCTCCCCAACAGGCGGTGCTTTCTCCCTCCGCCGCTTACTTGTCTCCTCCTCCTCCTCCGAGTACTCTGACGAGGTGGTCAGGGGGCTAATCTCCGAACTGGAGTCGCCCTCCGTAGAGTCCCAGTGTCGCGCCGCCACGCAGCTCCGCTTCCTGGCCAAGCACAGCCCCGAGAACCGCATCCGCATCGCCCGGGCCGGCGCCGTCGCTCCTCTCGTCGCCCTCCTCTCCCATCCGGACCCGCAGCTCCAGGAGCAGGGGGTCACCGCCGTCCTCAACCTTTCCCTCTGCGACGAGAACAAGGCCACCATCGCCGCGGCTGGCGCCGTTGGCCACCTCGTGCGCACCCTCTGCTTCGGCACCCCCGCGGCACGTGGGAACGCCGCCTGTGCCCTCCTCCGCCTCGCGCAGCTCGACGACCTACGCGCTGCCATCGGCGGCTCCGGCGCCATCCCGGCCCTCGTCGCCCTCCTCGAGACCGGCGGATCCCGCGGCAAGAAGGACGCGGCCACCGCCCTCTTCACCCTCCTAGCCTCCAAGGAGAACAGCAGCCGGGCAGTGGAGGCTGGGGTGGTGCGCCCGTTGCTGGACCTGATGGCCGATCCGGAGTCGGGCATGGTGGACAAGGCGGCGTACGTGCTCCACCGCGTGCTGGCATTGCGGGAGGGCCGGGTGGCAGCGGTGGACGAGGGCGGCCTGCCGGTGCTGGTGGAGATGGTGGATGTGGGAAGCCAGCGGCAGAAGGAGGTGGCGATGCTCTCGCTCCTCCAAATCTGCGAGGAGAGCTCCGCCTACCGCAGGATGGTCGTCCGCGAGGGCGCAATCCCGTCGTTCGTCGCCCTCTCCCAGTCCTCCTCCAAGAAGATCAGGGAGAAGGTTGGTAACCTCACCATCCCCTGTTCCAGTGTTCCGTCTTAAATTATTATCTTTTTTTTTTTTTTCCATTCCCGGGATAATAATTATTTTTCTTAATCAAATGAACAGGCGGAGGCATTGATTGCGCTACTGCGGCAGCCGACCTCACCCAGCACGAAACGGCCGATGGCGTTGGCCTAATTCGAGCCGATGACACGTGTCGTCCCGAGGTCGTCCTTTGTAACAGCACCACTCTACTTTGTACAGCAACGGAGTGCGAAAGCAAAGAGCACCGTTACAACTCCACCTGGCGGCATCGCCGCTGTTACGAGAGGTGGAGCGCGGTCGTTCCAGGTGAAGAGAGCCGGAGCAAGCGTCTTCGTCCAGCGGTGTGCTGTCAGTTGCAACTGTTGACCGAGGCAAGCTATCGAGCGCGGCCATCGATATTGTTTGTGGAACTTCCACCGCCGGCACGAAGTCGCCGACGGCAAACTGGGATGGTGGGTTGATGTGCCATGGCTTCCAAAGGACCTGTGGCTAGTCAAAGGGTTTTTGAGTGTCACGTGAGTGGCGGGGCCAACCTGGGGAGAGGTTGATGCAGCGACGTATGTTACCCTTGTCTTTTGTGGCCTGTTACTGCTTATCAACAGGGGAGATTGAGCGCTACAATCCTTTTGGTCCATTTTGGCGTGGAGAAGAAACGTGGAGAGATTGCACCGAATTAAAGTACAAAAAATAAAAACGAGCAAACCAATGCGTATATTAATGACAATTGTACAGATTAAATTTAACGCTTGTTAATTTGTTTGAGTTGGACGATTCAGAATCATTCTATTTTATGCTCTTGCTAGTATCACCAACAATCGAATTAAGAAGATGTTGAATTCTGTAAAATTATATTTGAGATATTGCTTGATAAAAATTTATATCAATGCTTAAGTTACTTTTGAAGCTAAGGTTTTCATGAAAAATCAAGAGGGATAAAATCGAAAATATAAATAGAGAGAAATGGTATATTATGTGACTTTGTGATCATTATGCTTACACCATCATATTAATCACATATGGTGTCACTGTTATGAATGTAACAATGAGGTACCAACCACTTAATATCGAGGTGTTAATCAATTGATGTCGATATTAATGCCGATGTGTTGATGATATTATTATCTTTCTATCAATTACAAATAATATGATTATGCAACAAACTATCAAATCGTTTGGGATCAATTTATATGATATTATTTATAGTTAAATGAAAAATATCAGGAACTTCTTTTTTATTATTTATAGCATGGTTTTTTCGATTATATAAGTCATCATATTATTAGCACTAATTGACTATTTTTTATATATTTGCAAACGTCGCGACAATGGACTATCAAAATTAATGAGATTTGTTTCCACTATCAAAACCTAAATAACAAGAAGATTATACCGGAAAATGATTTAAAAGAAACACAGATTTCCTTTGTTTATTACTTTTTAGAATTTACAATTTTTCTTCTCTAGTACAAATTAATTACAATAGAATCAAATTTTTTGAATCTGATAAGCCAATATTTGATCGTTATTGGTGTGACCCTCTATAGGGGAGTTAAGAGCTCATAGCCCTACCTCTAATACTAATCTGATAAATCAAAATTTAATTATCATTGGTGTGATCATGTAGACTCGCACTCGCATGATTTTATCCTTTCGGGACCGTGAACCTCGAGAAAAATACTTCTAAGAGTAAGAGTGATCTTGGTTTTTTCTATTTCTCAATCAATGTGAGACTAAATGTCCTTATTAGAATCGATTCTCACTGTCATCAAAATTTTCTTTTATACATATCATAAAATAATTTAATCAAATCATTTAGAATTAACATAACACGATGAAGTTGTTTTGCCTCACGAAAATGGTAACCCAACAGTACTTTGTACATCGAGACGTCGACTCGATGGGCTGTCACCGAGCTCATAGATTGGAAAATGTGAAACCAGAAGCCAAATCTCCTTTTCCCTCGCATGAAATGACGCTGAAAAGTGCATCCAAACCAATAAAAAGAACCCATCCGGCCATTGCTGTGCTGCAGAACAATGATGACAAAACGACACTCGCACACTCTAATAATTAAGCACGAAAAAGTCTCTCGTCTTCTTTGTTTTCTTCCAATCACTGCCGCAATTTACTTGGAAATTAGGGGTGCCTTTCTTGATCTTATCTCCACCTCGTCGTCCTCAGCCTATCAGCTTCGCTGTTGCATAATAACACTAAACATGGTTGACTCGATAGCTTGCTTTTGGACATGTCAATTTGATATCTAAATGGATCTGTTGGAATGAGACATTAAATGTTTGGATGCTGAGACATGTTTTTTTTTTATATTAATTTCCGATGTACGGGGGGCGACATGATGTCCACTCAATCTCTTGTAGTGTGGTGTTGGTAAGAATATAAATTAAGATCATCTTTTATTTACCTACTTAAGTTTATAATGTTAAGTGTTTGAAATCTCATATGATAAATTTGTCTAATGTTAAGTGTTTGAAATCTCATATGATAAATTTTATATCTAAAATATTGATCTAATGGTAATACACAAGCCCTCGTATGATTGACTTGTATTAATATCTGATAGAATGGTCACATGATTAAATCTCATCTTCGTCGATTTGAAACGAGTGGGTTTAGCTTCATAACCTACAAATCTGGATAGGTAGACTTTGCCAAGTTAGTGGATGTTGCTCACGAGTTGTGATCCAAGACATAATACGTTATGGACGAGATTGGTGTTGCTAAACGAGTAGGTTTGGCGGGATTGCATAATATAATTCAAAATGTCCAAGATAAAATTTCATAAATTAGAGATCTGTCCGGGTTGAGGTAGAAAGCAAATTAGGCTGAAGTACTTAAGTCGAGAAAATTGCCTTGTATGAAAAAAAAATGTCATAACAAAAGATGCAAAGCCAAATATGTCCAAGACACGTAAGTTAAAAAAATTCAATCAATATGAAAAGAAATATATCATGACAAAAGCATAAGGTCAAATAGACTTGAGACACACAAGTTAGAAAATCTCAACTCGTGTAAAAAGAAATTTATCATGGTGGAAGCGCAAGGTTAAATGTGCCCAAGGCACATAAGTCATGAAAATATAACTTATGTGAAGAGAAATTCGTTACGATAGAAGCACAAGGTGACCTGAGGCCTATAAGTTAAAAAAATCTAACTCGCATGAAGAGATCTATTATGATTGATGTAGAAGATCAAATGTGCTCGAGATGCATAAGTAAAAAAAAATCATTTCGCATGAAGAGAAATCCATCACGATAGAGGTGCAAGGTCAAATGTATCTGAGGGACATAAGTCAAGAAAACTCAACCAGTGCAAAGAGAGATCAACCATGGTAGAGACATAAGACAAATATGCTCGAGGTAGATGAGTTGTGAAAACTCGACCCACGTGAAAAGAAATCTATCATGATAGAAGCGTAAAGCAAGATATACTTAAAGCATGTAAGTTAGGAAAACTCGATCCATGTAAAGAGAAATTTACCATGCCAGAGGCATAAGCCAAATGTGTGTGAGATGAATAAATTAGGAAAACTCGATCTGTACGAATAGAAATATACTACGACGAAAGCGCAAAACCAAATATGCTAGAGATGTGTAAGTTAGGAAACTCTACTCGCATGAAAGAAAATCCACCATTATAAAAATGCAAAGGCCATATATGTTCGAGACATATGAGTCAAGAAACCCGACTTGTGTAAAGAGAGATCCGCTATGATAGAGACACAAAACAAAATTTGCCCAAGACATATAAGTAGAATCAAATATATAAGTAAAGTAATCCGTTACGATAGAGATACGAGATAAAATATGAGGAGATCTCGAGAGACTTCAATTGATTATTACTACCAAACCAACCACACTTGTTTGTGTTGTGTTGGAAAGTGAGATGATAAAACAGATTATCAAAGATTAATAATAAAAAAATATATCAAAAATAGATACAATATTTAATATGATTTGATAAATTATTCTCATTTATATTTATGGTGAAAACTAAAATTTTAATTTACAAGATTATTAAGTTGCATCATCTCATAGAATATATATATATATATATATATATATATATATATATATATATATATTCTTATAATCTGTAGATCCTTAATACAACAGTAGCACGACGTAACGTAGGTACATGTAACATAAGACAGAAAACCATAAACTTAGGAAGCCAAATGACTACTTAAGGTCAGCAGGAAACGTTGTGATTCATGTACTGCTCGGCATGATCATCCCTGCTACTCCTCCAGCTCGAAGGCTGACACCGGGAAGCTGTCGGACAACCCAGTGCCGGTCTTGAAGGTGATCTTCCCCGTCGAGGGATCCTCGACGCGCATCTCAACGACGGAGAGCCACAGTAGTAGCTCCTTGGTCTTCACCCCCGTCATCTTGTGCATCTTGCGCTTCTCCACGAAGGCCGTCACCTCAGGGGCGTACGACACCGCCCGCTTGATCTTCTTGAAGGTGTGGTCATGCTTCTTCTTCTGGATCAGCCATATGAACCCAGCCGCGCGGTTGTACCCGAACTCTTGGATGTCCTCTAGGGGGAAGAGCCCCCTCGGGAGCTCCAGTTCTTGAAGCAGTTGGATGGATTTCTTGCGGCAGAGGGCGTCACCGGTGAAGACCTCAGCACCGTGGCGATGGCTTTCGATGGTGTGGAGAGCCATGTCGTCTATAACTAAAGTGGTTCGGAAGCTAAAGAGCAGTGCAGAAGAGGATGACGAAGAGAAGGCAAAAGGGCTGATGAAACGAAGATGGGAGGGAGATGGTAT